CGGGCATATCTTCCTGCCAAGTAAAAGCAGGTGGCAGTGCCCGCTCAGAGCAGGTCTCAGCCGCTGCCAGCCCCAAGCTCCGCCCCCTCTCGCTCCGTCTCCAGTTGTTTATTCAGCGCTCGCAGCGGCACGCGCCAGGCGCACGCACTGGAACAACAAACCCCAGAGAATGGAGCCCGGGGAGAGGGGCGGGGCCAGGCATAGCGCGTGGAGCTTGTGCCCATTGAAAAGGCGGCGGCGGCCGAGCGACCCTAGCCACTCAGTGCAGCGAGCCAGGGAACGTGCGGGACAGAACGCGGGGCTCCCCTCTCACACTGCCTCACCCGCACAGCCGGAGCTACACACGCGACACACACGAGTCTCTCTCAGCGCTCAAGTCCAACCACAGCCAGCCAAATGGACAGCACTGCCAAGGCAGAGAGCGGCTCCAACCAGCTCTTCCTACAGCCAGCCTGCTACTTTGCACAGAGCCTGCAGCTCAGCCCGGGTGACGGGCAGCAGCCCAATGCCAAGTCTGGGGCAAAGCAGGTCAAGAGGCAGAGATCGTCCTCCCCGGAGCTGATGAGGTGCAAGAGGAGGCTCAACTTCACTGGCTTCGGCTACAGCCTCCCCCAGCAGCAGCCGGCGGCGGTGGCCAGGAGGAACGAGAGGGAAAGGAACAGGGTCAAGCTGGTGAACCTGGGCTTTGCCACCCTAAGGGAACACGTCCCCAATGGGGCTGCCAACAAAAAGATGAGCAAGGTGGAGACCCTGCGCTCCGCGGTAGAGTACATCCGAGCGCTACAGCAACTACTGGATGAACATGACGCTGTCAGCGCTGCTTTCCAGTCCGGGGTGCTGTCACCTACCATCTCCCCAAACTACTGTCATGATATGAACTCTATGGCAGGCTCCCCCGTCTCCTCCTACTCTTCCGATGAAGGATCCTACGACCCCTTAAGTCCAGAGGAGCAAGAACTGCTAGACTTCACCACTTGGTTCTGAGCAGGTGAGTCCTCTATGCTGACGTCCACTCTGATGGTGCTGAACTGACTGTCAAACATGCTATGGAGGTGCCTCATCATACACCTTACAATCTGACACATCTACAACGTTTAGAATAGAAGGGCCAGCTAAACGAGCCACTCATTATTACATAATCAGACTGGAACCTGTTCTACGTTATTGTTGGGCAGCTCTAAAGAAATATTGTAAGATGTATGGTCAGCTTAACACTTTTCTTTACAGCGATCGTGCCCATTCAAGATCTAACTCGCCCATTAAAGATCTAACTCGCCCTTTGAGCTTTGCTTCTTGTCTGCAAACAATGACTGACGGCTGTCTCTCTCTTTTTTTTCTGATTCCAGGACTGCTGCTAAGGAGAAAGTGAAGCACATGGGAGCCCACAAGCTTCTCCAAGAACACTAAGCACTAGATTTGCACTCCGGTGGGGGTCCACAAGAGACACCAGAGACTGAGAAGTGTGGGCATCAGGAGCGGCTGGGGTACCCACTGCTCTGCTCACACACAAGGAAGAGCTATGATTGGCCCGCAAGATCCGAAGAACAAAACGGGGCTTCCCAAATGACGATCCGACCCGTAGCCCATTGACTAACTGTTCTCTCCTTCCCTAAGGATGATAAACGGGACCATAACTTGTGGAGTTTGCATTCCAACTATGCTGATACTCAAAGAACCATTTAAACCCCTCTACTACTATTTTTTATACCACTTTCAACGTCAAACAAATGCTTCCAATCTTTTTTTTGTGATTGTTTTTATTATAAAAAAATCTATTTCTATGGATCCCAGATGTTTTGGGACATATTAAGCTATTTTTGTACATAAGAGAGAGATTTATAGAAGTTTTGTACAAATGTTATAAAAATATATGTATATCTCGATCCATTATTATTGTAATGCTTATTACCTCTGCGTATTTAGACTTGTAGTCTATATGACAGCAGCCATGGTCGGCTTCTGGCACCCCAGCTGTTGCTCGGGCACCCAAGGACGTGGACTCGGGCAACAGCTGGAGAACAGAGGTTGCCCTCCCTGCTACTTATACATGACCTTGCAACTGCCATTTTCTACGTGGTTTGTGAAAAGGGACTCTCCTTTGGGGGAGATGGAACTCTTACAGATGTACTTTAGCACCGATGTGTCTTACTTTATAGAAACGTTGTTAATGTATTAATTGTGTTATTCAAAACAATGTTCACAATGAACAAAGTTTATGCAGCTATTGTCCAAACGAGTGGTCCATTGTTTCTATGCTGACTTTTTTGGAACTTTACACCACTGCCTTTTCTTACCGTTTTATTACAAACTTACAAAAAGGTCCTGCATAACACAACAAAAAGTGTGTTTTTTTATACACAATAGTTTCATAATAAAACATTTTATATAAAAATCCAACGTCTATATTTTCTGCTTGTTACTTTGGATCTGTTCAGGGTGCTGTGTAGGGAAAGCAGTAGTATATTCAGGCTGATGTATCTATTTAGAAAGAGACACAATAAAGATGGGTACCGATTGTTTGCCATCCCCCTACATAAAAGGGATTCAGAGCAAAGAGATTGATTAATGGCTTTATTGTCCTTTAAATCGGCACCCGAGAAGGACTGAGCATAGAAGGCAGTGGAAACAGAGGGCGCTCTATACCAGCAAGTGACCACAGCAGACCTCAATTCATCCATCCCTAGCATCCAACAGAACACATGAAGACTAAAGGGCATATTTAATAAGACAAACAGCAGAAATCCAAATGTAATTCACTTTTCTGAAATGTCACTGGTTGCTATAGGTTACTGCACTTCATACAAATCACTACATTACCAATATTAAGTTTGTAAGGGGTAAAACATTTATCCTTCAGGGTATTAAATTATATGTATATTTTATTCCTTTATTTATTTGCGCTCTAAAAAAAGTCGCACTCCTCTTAGGCATTCATAGATCAAATTAGGTTTTGCTTGTTTTAATAAACCAAACTTTCACAAATCTCTCATGCTGTTTCCAAGAAATAGCTTAAATAGGAGGAG